GCTTACGGACAGTACCAAAAGCTACATGGGCTCCCAGATCGCTATGTACCAATTGCCGGACCCCGTTAAACTAAAAAAAGTGTCAGACCGCCTTCATTATCTGCCGGACCGCATATAGATTTGCTGGACCAAATATATAGAAGTGTCAGATCGCCATATAGATCTGCTGGAGTGCAAGACCACATTTTGTCCAGAAATAAAGTATTGGACCGCAATGTACATTTGCTGAAGCGCATGTTTACCTAGAAAGAATAGTGCCGGACTGCCATGTATACTTGCAGGACCGCAATTTTATCTTTAGGAGAGAGAGGCATGGGTAAAAGTCAAGGAAGGGTAAGTTACATAAGAAGTCTATTCATGACGGTTATTTGTAATTTTCCCATGATTTTTTAATGCGTCAGTGCGAATTGAAGACTAGATTGATAGCTAAGGCTAAAGGATGCTACCAACAGGACCTTAACCCCATACCCAAAATCCAAAGGGATGTGATGCCGAACTCTCAATGCGCCTTCAAACACAGTGGGTCAAAACCGGAATGAGCGGAACCGATCCAAGTCTAGGGAAATATTGTGTTATTTTAAATCCCAAGTAACTCATGTAAAATATTTGTTGAGCTTCTTCTTTGTTTGCTTTTGGTTTAGGTTTTGAAATTTATGTAGGGCAGTGAATCTTGGCCTATGGAAATGCTTAGTATTGGAAACGGGAGTCTTAACTTTTAGAGAATCAATATGTTATCACATTTTTTCACTTATAAAATAATAGAATAGTGAGGGATTGTGTTTAACTTTGGCATATAGAGATAAGAAAGGCCTCAAGTAATTACTTTTTGGGGTTTCCAACTTTCGTTTGTAAATAGGCACATAGAGAGAGAAAAGGTCAAGGAGTGTACTTATTCCCCAGGCTGAACGTAGATAAAGAGACACTGTAGAGAGGCTAGTGGTAATATAGAGTAGGTAGAAGCTGCCTGTGTTTTTTTCTTTTTCTTTAATGTGAATACCATCAATTGTCTTCAATCGTTTTGCTTATGGTTGTACACATATTTATGATGAACCACATAAAATTTTGGTTTTTATTTTTGTATTACTTATTTTTTTTGCTTCTTCTTTCTTTGAAACAGATTATCTATTTTTTGCTTTGTTTTTCTTCTTTGTTGCTTGCTCATGATTAGCAGTACTTTTCTTGCTCTTTATTTTTCCAAAAATCAACTCAGGTTTTAGAACTTGCTTGCACAACAAATGCTGTCAAACCCTAGTTTGAAGTCATAAAATAATGATAATAAATGTTTTAATTGCAATGTTTAAGGAAGAGAAATTCGATAGAAAAAACAACTTCAAAATTTGACAGATTAATGCCCAGGACTTGCTAGTGTAACAAGGATTACTCGGATCTGCGCCCATATCTGATGTCAGATCAACTCAAATGCAAAACGAGCTAACATTGAAGAGACCGATAGATAAATGGGGCCGGTCAAATTATAGACCCAAAATTGATACAGATTTGAGGGATCTAATCCTTTTTGAATCTATTGGCAACACCATCTAAAATCTCATACGAATTAAAATTTTAAAAGATAAAATTTCAACCTAAACTAGAAAATATGAAATAAAAATACAAAAAATAAATAAAATAAATAAATAAAATGATGGAAAACTTACATGGGACCCGAAAACTAGAGTTTTGGGCTCGAATTATGCTGCTCTTGTGCTCTTTTTTTCCTTGCTTAGATGCTTTTTGCTTGAGGTTTTGATTTGGGAAGCTCTATGGCTTGGAAAATGCAGGAATTAAGGCTGTTTAACCTAGATCTAGGTTTTCTAATTCCTAAGGACTCTAGGATTTGAGATAGGAAAAGCTAGGGTTTATATGATCCAGGGTTTCCTACCTTATTTTCTAGGTTTTTCCTATTTTCTAAGGTTTTTCCTAAGTTTTTAGGCATATGTATTTTTAGGAAATTATCTCTTATTTTTGAAAAAATTTGGATTTTTATGGGATTTTCTGGATGATTTTCTTGTATTTTTTGAGGGGGTTTAAATGGGAGTATGTCAAGGGTAATTCTATAAAGTTTTAAAAATTGAATTTATTTATCCTAAAAATTTTAAAAAAATTATAATTATCTTACGTAAAAAATGGGCTTACCAGATAACCAAAGTCACCACAACAACCTCTCCAGCAGCTTCTAGAAAATTCTAGGGAGTTCTAAAACTTTTGTAGTGCCCATTCTGGAATTTCTTGTAAACAACTTTGTTCAAGCCATAACTTTCAAATGGAATGTTGTATTTAAGCTATTTTTGGACTGTTAGAAAGATTGCGACCTACTATATATATGAAATCAAATTTGAATTGCTTTTTATGGGTCTACAAGGCTAGGACTTCAGGGTCTTTTTTTCAGATGTATGGGTGTCACATTGGTGTTCGGGAGTTGACCATCATTAGGCACGTGGATATCTAAGATGACAATCTTGGAGTATTAGGATAGGTGTCGGGTCACTTTGGGACAATTTTAAGGGGACTAGGTTCACTATGGTTCACTAGGCTTAGTGTAGTCCTTAGGATTGATAATTTGAGGTTTCTACGATTTATGGGAGGTGTTCACAATTGCCCCTCTTTGGTATTCACCTGTGACACCAGGTGAATGACAAAGAAGTAGACCCGAATTACGATGGAAGAAATGAGGGGTCATTCTTTTAAATGACCAATACCCTTTGGGAAGGCGGTACAATGATGGAATTTTGATTTATAAGCTATCAGCCTAGAACTTTGTTGTCTTTGGGGCAGTTATTTTCCGGTGAGAGGTATTCGACAATAGGTATTCGAAGTGACAATCTATAGGAACCGTTCTATCTTTGAGCTAGCTATTTTTTCTTGTTGAGGCCACCACAATGCTATACGGGACGCTATTGTAGCTAGAGTGGAAATCAAGTTGGTCGGACCAAGAAAGACATGTGAATTCTGGGGCTCCAGTTCAAGATTGGCTAGCTTTATGTCACTATTGATGGGAATGCCATAGGTTCAAGAAATCCTAGATCTCCTCAAACATAAAAAATTTCTGACCGTCTTTCTTAAAATTATGCAGGAGAGTCTCGATATCATGTACACATGTGAAGTCCACGATGATATAATTATATAGGTCAGCGACGGGAGGCAAGTTATCATGGAAGGAGAACTTATTCTATCATAACGGATGCTTGTAGTGGGCTTCCAGTATTCTGGAGATCTTTACAAGCATCCACCTTTTTACCAACATATAGGCAAGTAATGAGAATTTTATCCATACCTTAGAATTTCACATAGAGGATTGGTTCACTCACACTTTTATTGAGATTGTGGTCAAGGATACTTGACAATTTTTCTATACCATGTTCTTGGAGCCTGCTTAAGTCCGTACAAAGCTCTCTCCAATTTGTAGACTTTATGTTCCTTCCCTTGGACTTCAAATCCTGGGAGCTACTCTAATAGAAATCATCTGGTAAATTTCCAATAAAAAATGGGAAGTTGAAATCAACTTGAAAAACCTTCCATCCTTTTTCAGCATCCAATGCTAAGACTAATCTCATGGTATAAATCATAACAATGGGTGAATACGTTTTAGAGAAATCCTTTCATAGAAATCAGTACCTGGGTTGTGCATGTCCTGTGGGGTATCTATTGAAATTGAATTTGCATTAGTAAACGCCCTTGAGTCTAATAGCTTCAGTTCCATAGGATAGGTCTACTAATCTTCATCGTTTTGTTCCTTTTAGTTGCACTCATTTCCTCCTTTATTGCATCAACCCACTATTTCTTCAAAACAAGTAGGCTCCAATGATTAATAAACATCAATAAGACTTGCCCTCTTTGCAGGTGACTCTAAGAATTATGTTTGAGATGTAGATGGGCTTGCTGATGCGCCTAGAGATTCCTCTTCCTCTTCTATAAGTAAAGGATGTTTTTGTAGACCTCTTTCCTTATTCCAAGCATCATTCTCATTAAAAATAGCAATTTGATATATAATTATCTCATTTTTAGCAAAATTATAATGTTTATAGCATTTTCTTTCATCACTAGAGCCAACAAAAATGTAATCATCTGATTTTTTTCCTCTTTTCATAAGGAAAATGAGCATGGGTTACGGAACTACACATCTTTAGGTGACTTACATTCCATTTTCTCCCATACCAATTTTCATTTGGAGTTTATCCTTTAACTAGTTTTGTAGGAAGTCAGTTGAGTAAATAAACTAAAATAACTTAAGCTGAAAAAGTCTTTGGAAGTCATTTTTCTTGTAACACGTACTTTGCAACCTCCATACAGATCCAATTCATGCATTCTCCATGTCCATTTTGTTGTGGAGTTAAGATTCTTGTGAGTTTTGGACGAATTCCTACATTTTTTGTAAAGCATAAAATATTAAGCAAATTTTGTACAGACACTATTTGGGGGCTTTTATTATCATATGGTAATAAAGTTGTCATATATCATGAGCACCCCCCACCTCCCGAAGGCCTTTTTTTTATTTCTAAGTTGCCTTCCTATCCAGCAATGAGAACATCGGACAAGAGGGCTATTCTTTCCACAATCACCCAATAATTGTATGGCATTCGCATTACCAAACAACTTGCATCGTTTAAGTTTCTAGTTCTTTGCTATCCATTGTTCGAAGTACCAGATAACTCTCTGGAATGTCCAAAACCCTGCGAGCTCTCTTTTTCCGTCATCTCTCTTCTCTCTCTTACTCTCTCATTCCTCTCTATCTCTCTCCAACCTTCGAGCCCTCTCTCTCTCTCTGTGCAGTGGCCATCTGAAGCCACAACCATGCACATTTGACCTACTAATAAGGCAGGTTTCACATGTGCATTTCATTTTGTTTAATTTTTTTGATGGAGTTCCATCATTTTTTATGGAGGTTTCCATCATTTATTTTCTAGTTGGGCCAATCATCAAGAAAATCTCATGTGTGTAATGTTATAAAGAAAATTTATACAATTGAAATAGAACTTCACTACACACAACTGAAACTGCCCGAATCTAATGAAATCTTAAAGCCAAAATTTTGATTGAAATTTATATTTATAGTCCACTATATCCAAAGTATTCAAAATTACATCAAAAAATTGTAACTTAAAATCAACATCCTCTTTTGGGGGGGATGCTTTTTTTTTTGCTTCTTGACCTCAATGGCTAATAAAGTGGGACACGCTCTCTCATCAGTCCTGGTCCCCTGAGACCGTGCATAACATCCTCTTAGAGCTCTTAACTTGTCCATCTGGAACTGTGGTTCAATAGTTAATACAAGCTCTTCTTTGGAGTCATCACTAGATTCCTCCTCATGTGCTTCTTATTCTTCCACAACCAACTCACCTTTAGACAAGATCACCTCTCGCTTGATCTCCTTTAAATATCGATCTTTTGTCTTGAGGTCTTCAACCACCAGTGCATTGTCAATGATTTCTACTCAATGGTCTGCTTTGGTCCAGTATAACACCACAATTACAGTCAAGCTGCCATGACAAAGAAGGAAAAATGAAATTATAAGATATAAATTTGAACTAAATACAAACTTACCATATCACCATAGTCTCGAGCTGTATACCCATTCGTCTGAGGGTTCTCAGGTTATAAATTCTAGGGATGGAAGCACAGACGGACGTACCACACTACATACTCCTTCGATGGAAAACCATGACTCCTGTTTGGCTCGCTAGTCTGACAATACTGAAGCCAGTCTCGCCAATCCCAAATTTGGGGGGTGAGCTCTTGGTCCGAATTTTCTTTTTTTTTTACCCCACCTCTCCACTCTTTCCCATCTGCTGGTGGTCGCTCCCAAAAATGTATCTTATGAATTTAAAATGTTTAAAGAAAGATCATGAATTCGAATGGACAACGAAAGGGCAAACACATTCGGGGCTAAATATGTACATGTATTCCACATCATAGAAATAAAGGTCTTTACATATCCGACAGGTAACAGAAGAGTTCCAGAGGCTTAAACCTCTGCTACAATTTATATGAGCCTAAAAGTTAGACCGAAAGTTAGGCCGAATACCATTGATTGGGGCCCTAAAACCTTTATATATGATTCAAGAAAAAGAAAATATACAGACGCAGAGAAAATAAATCAATACCAAGGGCATCACGATCCCATATACCTTAACTAAATGCCTAAATGCAGGGGTATCATTCGTATGGTCTGCACCTTCTTTGATATAGGGCTTCAAGTAAGTCCAAGTTTTATAGCTTCTCTCTCTAACGGAATTCTTGTACTATAGTTAGAAAACAATAGTATCAGCGGGTGGTTTCTTTACTGACAGTGGATGTAATCTCCTCTCTCTATCACGCAAATATTGCACAAAGTAGCGTGTATTTCTCAGTCCTATTGATTGAACCGAATCCCATCCTCATCAAGTAACGAAATTTATATAATTATCCACGAGTTGATAACCACGAAATTTGTCATCACTATCCATTTGTTGACCACGTGCATCTATCTTCCATGATCCAGCTTGAGATGACAAACATGTAGTAACACCCATACTAGCAGGATTTTACACGCGCTTCTATAAAAAACACATCAAATGAAACATTTTGATCCCATAAAGCTACATAAATGAAGTTGGAACTTGAAACCGGGGGTTTTAGATCCCCTTTAATTTCTATTCATATAGTCAAAACGCGTCATTTCAAACTATATTTAGTCTCGAAATATTTATGCGCATAGGACGAAGTGATATCAAGATGGGTGATTTAGAAACAGCGATTTCCACAAGATTATATGTTGATCCCCTTAAAAAGGAATCCCATTAGTCGAAATGAACAGAGCTTTTGCTCTAAATGATCTATAACATGAGGAAAGTGAAGAAAAATATCCCTAGTTTTTACAAGAAGATAATAAGAAATCAGCACAACAAATGAGAAACTTCTCATTATCCTCAGCATAACTATAGCTAAGTGCAATGCAAAATCTCCTGCAACATTCAAAATGACACAAAAACTAGGGTTCCTTGCAAGTTGCAATATAATTAGAGGATTCAAACAACAAAGGAAAAATTCGAGGACCCCCAAAAAATTGATTTTAATCCTCCTATTCATTACTACTACCTAAACGAAATTTACTCATTCAAGCACAATGTAGAAGAAAATCGAAAACCCCTTTTATGATACTGCCATTAAATCAAAACAGAGAACCCACAGAAAACCCAAATGCTTTTATTTTTTTGGGTAAATCAGTAGGGAATACAGGCCCCTACCTGTTTTTAGAAATAATTAGCGGTTTTTGAATACGTCAGTGGGAATGAAAACCTAGATCAGTAGCTTAAGCTCAAGTGGTGCTACCACCACGACCTCAACCCCATTCCCAAAACCCAAATTATTTGTCATGAAAAATGTGCCAATAACCACCATTGAACCACAAAACCATCATGAAAAGAAATAAGATGAAAACAAAGCACAAGTAAAATTTTTTGAGACAATTTGGGGATTTTCTATCCCAAAAACCCTAATCCGCTACTAATCTAATTTTTTGCAAATTTAAAGAAGAGCAAATTACGTACCTGATTAAGCGCTCAAATGTCCGCGGTTGTGGCTTTAGATGGCTGCTTTGTGGTGAGACGGGGCTTTGGGTTGTAGAGAGAGAAGAGAAATGATGGGAACAAAGGGTGGACTAGGTTTTGGCAGATTCCAGAGAGTTGTCAGATAATACAAATACCGGACAACAGAGAAACACAGCAGGTAGATGTCTAGTAATATGAACACCGGACAACTCTTTGCGTTTGAAATTAAAATAGGCCCTCCCGTCTAGTATTTTCATTGTCAGACAGGAGGATACCTTATGCCGCTGGGGGGAGGAGGTGTGCTCGTAATATCCAACTTTATCACCATATGGTAATAAAGGTCTTCATATTCATTTGATGAGAATTCTCCTCCTCAATCAATAAATAATATTTTGGGGATAGTGACCTCTTTGATTCCTAACATAGGCCTTAAACTTATACTATTGAAAGATGAGAAGAGCTTCAGGTTTCTCTTGAGTAAGGCAGTCAAGTCATCAAATAATGTGAGATAGCATCTACTTCCACCCAAAAGAGATTGTGTGCATGAGACCATAAACATGAACATACACATGCATTAGGGGCTCATTTGATTTGCAAGACATACGTACTCAAGTAAAGGGATTCGATGTTTCTTTCTTCACATCATTCCACCATTATTCGGCATTGGTTAGCGAATAACCATTGTTTTTACATGCAATAAATCCAAGCAACCAAAATTCAAGTGTCGACATCTTTTATGCCATAACCAAGAATCATCAAATGACTCAATATTAAATATATTGATAGTATGTGGAGAAAATTTAAGTCGAATTTTGTTCAGCCATCTTCGCACTCAATAATAAATGAGCCTATTATCATAAAAAATGGCATAATACCCAATTTTCATCAACTGCCCCAAGCTTATCAAAGGTTGGACTAAGTCAGGCACATGAATGAGTTTCTTTAATAGTCTTCGTGTTAATAGCGATAACTCCTTTGAACTTGAACTTGATTATCATATTCTTTCTTGACCTGTCTCATAGTGTCATTGATTTCGACAAACATTGTTTTATTGCCAGTCATACGATTGCTAAGACCACTATCAAGGTATCAAACGACATTTGCATTAAGATATGAGAAACAAATTTTTTTCATTAACTTGTCATCATTTATTTTCTGTTCGTGAAAATTTGCTCGATCATTACACTTGCACAAATAGTCTTTTTCAGCATGACGAATCTATTAACAAATACAGGACTGAGGTAAATTAGAATCCCTATTTTGTACCAACAATATTTTTCAATGTGGCCTATATTTTTGCACTTGTAATGATGAGAACATTGAGGGGGTTCACAATTACCTCTAATGAAATGCTAATGACTTTGGTTAAATCAAGTTCTTCCTTTGCCTAGAAGGTTTTGCTTTGCACCTCCTCTTCCATCACGCCTTTTTTCTGATGAGCGACTTTTCCCACCTTCACTCGAGCCTGTCTTAGATTATGTTTTGATTGACAGGTCTGTTCAATGGATTTTCTGTAGATCTATTCAATCTTATCTCATATGCTTGACGAGAACCATTAGATGATTCATAGATAAAGTTGTTAACTCTTTGGATTCCCTAGTTGCAACAACAAGAAGATCAAATGTAGCAGTAAGGCTTCCTAAAAGAATTTCAACAACTTTTTGAACGTCAAAGTATCTAATTTGATCACAATGGAAGTGACCCTTCTGAAAATTTTTTGAATATATTTAGAATTTCTCATTGACAAAGTCTCAAATTTATAATAGAGAATTTGCAAGTTAATAGTTTTTACCTGACTTAGGACTCAGTATTCTTCTCGAAGCAAGTCCCTTGCTTCCTTTGATGTTTTTCTGCTGCCATTATTCTCAGACATATGGTCTCATCCACAGCCTACTAAATGTAAAACAAAAGCACGGTGTCCTTCGCTTGTTGGGCTGTAGTAAGCCTTCCTTCTTGATCATCATAGGCTGCACATCCATTCTCAATTAATTCCCAAAAATCATTATACGAAGACATGGTTTTCATTTTAGTACTCCAAAACTGATAATTCTCACCTTTGAAGATGGAAACTATTTTTTAGGACATACAAGTATTTGCCTTTGTTGCTACTTCCCTTTGCTTTATTTTCTTTCTGTTCATTTTCCCGTCTTGAATCACTTCATGCCACTCCCAGCTTTCTGTGAACAGGCTCTGATGCACAATTTGTATCTTGTTGGATTCCAAATGCACAATCTATTACAAAAGAGAAAGAAAGAAGGCAACCAAGAAAAAAAATAACAACAGAATAGACACTAAAAAGCAACCTTTCAATAACTTTTTTTCTCCAAAAATATGCTGCACACTTTCACTGGCTTGGCTCATTTGCTTATAGCGCCCCTCTTTAAATGAAGGCTCATCCAACCGATTGAGAAGTAGCCTTTACCTCATTTATAACAATAACTACCCAGTACATGAGATGTTTGTCTCGTACTTATGATAACCGACAACCCACTATAATTCAATAACTACCCATTAGAAAATAACTAAAAATAAACCCGTAGAAAGCGAAAATAGTGCATAACTATTAACCCAAACCACCGCACAACTAAGAGAGAAACTAGGAGATAGAATAGTGATTAGTTACAAAAGTAGTTTAAATTACATTCCACAATATGTCCCACCCAAGGCACCCAATCCATCGCTATTAAGATGTTCGATATCCCATATGAACAAAGAAATTAAAATGAAAAAGATTCACCCATAGTAGAGAGATAGTACAAAACTAATTTCAAATTTTCACAACTCATGTGGCTGATCGAACGGTACAAGACAAAAGGCAAACGAAACAATGGAAATACTTAGAACTATCCTCCATATTAGTGAAGCCGTTTGGTTTCCGACTGCCAGTGCCTTCATATCTGCTCATGGAATTCTTCAAATACTCAATACGAGCTCTATTATCAATCGTAGTTCCTTGGTTTCCTTCCAAGAAAATTGCATAACTAACACGCACACTTATACACATACACATAGAGCACATACAGAGCGAAACATTGTTAAAAGTGCGGTCGGGGCGTGGTGGGCAGGTGGTGGGGTTACAGGGTTTAGCCTCCAAAGTTTTTAATTACGCGGGTACGAAAATGATTTGAGATATAAAGAACTGTGGGGAATGCTGCTTCTATGGGAAAGGGTTTGGGGTTGTGGTGGTAGCACCCCCACACCCTAATCGCCTTGTTGTGGTTTCCATTCCCATTGACAGCATCCACTAATACCTTCAAAAAAACCAACTCCATTGAAGAAAGGGGTAGGGGATTGTCTTCTCCATTGAATTATCAAAAAATGTTGCCGCTTCCATGAAAATGGGGAAAATATTTTCTCATTTACTACTGTTTTATACGTTCTCCATGTTGGTAAAATTGGAAAAAAGGTATTTCCTTGGAAAACCTTTCCGTGCCCTAAAAAAAATGGATTTTCCATTGTACTATTAGTCCTCGTGATACCATGGAGAAACAACTCTCTCTCTCTCTCTCGCTCTCTCTCTCTCTCTCATTGTGCTTTGTAACCCTTGCGTTGAGCGATGATAACATTGCGGGTTCTCCATTTGCTTGAAAATAACATCTCATTTTTGTCTTTTAAAATATAATCATTGAAGTTCTCTTTGATGCTTCACCAAGTTTGGTTTACTAAGTTAAAAAGCCATGACGGGAAGCCCATATAATCTCTTTCATCTCTTCTACTTGGGCTATTTAACAAGCAAAAACAGCACCAGTTTCCATGTGTAAAAAATTCTCTCGAAGCTTCAGTATTTGAAACAAAAAGACGTAAACGATTAAATGTGTATAGCCAGAGGCAATGGGATCAGCATGAGAATCACCACTTTCATAAAGCTGTATCATCTGAAAAGTAATCACTAAGTAATACCATTACTTATCTCATTGTACAGATAACTATTACATCAAAATTTTAGAGTTGTTCATTTATGGGTAAAACTCTATTGATATAGTATTAAAACAAGGTCTTCAGAAATATCCTGCCTGCATGCACATGGATATTAAATGGCAGCAATGCAAGTACCTTCCTTCAAGCACCCTTATTCGCTAATTACGCACAGGCCCAAACCCTAAGGTTGCAGCTGGGGCGACATCTATTGTGTCATCATCATCGTCATCATCTCCGTCGGGATGCATTATTGCATCAATTGCTATGTCATCATTGCCACCATTAACAAAATCGAGGAAGAAATTATAAGTTTCATCAACAACCGACATAGTGTTGCTAGTTATGAAAATGTTGTCTACCAACAACAAGAATTCTAAGACACTGATGAAGAAGTAGCCTGGTTTTTTAATGGCAGATAGGGTATGTCCATCAATGCTATTTATACTCAACACAGTGGGTTAAGCATATTTTGGTCCCCACATTGAGAAAAGTTGAAAATAAAAGTTTTGAGTATAAGTGACATGGAGGCATGTCATCCACATGGTCTCAAGGGATCATCAAAATCATGCAGAACACATGGAAGCTGGTGTCAATCCACAGAATTCATGTGGGAGCAATGAGGGGGGCACTCATAGCGAATGCCAAATTTAGTATCAGTTTTTAAGAAATTAGCCAAGTTGGCTTGGAGCTGATGGGGATCCAGTTGGAGTTCCTCATGGAAAGTCGGACTGCTTCACCATAAAAAGTCATGTTTTTAATGAGATTTAAATGTAAAAATTTATTTTTAGAACAAATTAAGATTTAAATTTGCACTAAAAGGGATTTCAAGCCCAAATATGTATTTTTCTTTAGCATAGTTACTATGTTTGTACAGTCAACTTCGTCGAAAGACGTTCATGAAAAGAAAAAGAGCGAAAGGTTTTAAGATTATTGGAATCTCACATGGCACTCTTCAGTCCCATTTGGCACCCGAAGATTGTGTTTTGTCTGTGCTCCCACGTGCCTGAGTATGTTAGCAGCAGCTTCCCCGCGTGCTCAGAAGTGTCGGTCACTATGAGTCCACTTTGTGGAAGGGTTTACAACTTCTCTAAAATCTCTCACTTTTGCCAGCTATGGCCGCTTAGATGCCCGTTTATGGGAAATCGAACAAGACTTTCCCCTTACGGACCATCGGATGCATACACTAAACTTCACCTCAAAAACTAGAAAACAGAAAATTTAGGGAAACTTAGGTAGGAATTTTTGAGAAACAGCTCCGCAAAAGAGAATAATAAGATTGTATGATTAAACTACAAAGAAAAATGCAACAGACGAAGAGGAAAAGTGTGTGGGCCAACTTGTGAGCCAGGCCAACATACCCGCGACAGCCGGAGTTATAGGCCCAAGTTAGAGATGTGGGTGCGAGGGGACCTTTCCCGTTGTCTTTCAGAGTCTTGAGTCAGAGACGCTTGAAAATAAGAGTTCTTTGCGTTAGAGTAAGGCCTTCGATGCAAGAAGGGACCACGACGGACTAAGATGCCTATGATGATCCTTAGCTTAGGTTTTGAAATTTTTATGGTTTGTGTGGGACTAGGATGAGTGGGTTAATCTTGCTGTAGATGCAATGGTACCTGGGAACCTAGACCTAGGTTCAAGTCATCTCTAGGGTTCCTAGGATCTAGAGGGGTAGAGGGGCCAATTTTGTGAAATTAGGGTTGGGGTTAAATGAAAAGTATTCAGACCAGCCTAAAAAAAGGCCCTTTTATAAGAAAATGGCTATGCAATGGCTACTAGGGAATGGCAACTCTATCTGATTGGTTTGTCCTTCAGTGACGCATACTGTGTATGCGGCACTGGAGCTTTGTGTGTACCAAATACGTGGCAGTATCCCGCCACCTGTCCCCCACCTCCAGGGACTTTTGGGGTGAGGTTTAGGTCAAGATAGAGGTTTCTTAGACATTTCTATGGGGTTTTATGGCCCTTTAAAATATTGTTTATATTATGTTTTGATTTTATGGGTCAACTAGGGTTTCAGGTTGGCCAAGATTGGTAAAAGGTAGGTTATATTATATGTGTGAAGACAAATCATACATGTGGTTGTTTATTTCTTTTTTTATCTTTCTTTTATTTTGGACCATTAGATTATATCTAATCCAATGGTTGTGATATTGTAGGAACTTTAGAAACTAAAATGATTACAACCCTTTTGTTTAGAGAGAGAAAGAGTGAGAAAAAGATAGACGGATTAAGCTGCAATTGGGTTTTCTCTTGAGGGCTACTGTGTTCTCTGTTTTAGAGAGAGAAAGTGAGTAAAAGGCTTGAACTCCATTGTGGGTTTACTGTGTGTCCTATTTTAGTAAGAGAAAGTGTCAAAGATAACCCATTTTGGGTGTTCTTGGTATCCTATTTTGGACTCTGTGTAGAATGAGAAAGGGCCACTGAAAATTGATGTTTTGTGCTCGATTTCACCTTGTAATCTTCCAAAATCAGTAAGTAAAGTCTCGCGTCATTCTCTTATGGATGTAGGTCACGATTTGTGACCGCACCATATTTAATCTTTGTGCTTTGTGACTACATGTTGCTGGATTTTTCATTTCATATTCTTACTTTGATATTGTGTTGTTTCCATTGCTTGTTTATATTGATATGAATGCACAATAGTTGTGAATATTATAATCCCTTTCTGATATTTCACCGATCGATCCCAACAACTGGTATCAGACCCTAGGGTTTGTTCTTCATTGTGTTTGTGAAAAAAGGGTTTTTTTCTGCGATTATGGTTTTTTATTATAATTTTCTTTAAAATGGAAAAGGTAATGGAATTTGAAAATTAAATCAAAGTAATTGGCCAATATGAAAAATGATAATGGAAGATTATCTTGTTGGAAAAGAATTCGATAGGCCAATTCAAGGAAAAGAGGCCATGGCCGATGGAATGGATGATCCAGAATTGTATATTCTTGATCGAAAATGTTTGGCAGCTATTAGACCATGTATTTCACCATCAATTTTATTTGATGTTTGTCAATGTAAAATATCTACAGAGATTTTGCAATCTTTTGAGAAACTCTCTAGTGCAAATAAAGTGCATGCGATTAAAAAAATATTTCTTTTAAAAATTAAAGAAGGTGCTACAATTAGATCGCATGTGAGTGAATTTAATTCAATTTTTGCGCAATTGAGGTATTTGAAAGTGAATTTGGATGAAGAAGTGTTATGTTTGTTTTTGTAGTGTTCTTTGCTTGCTAGTTGAGATACATTGATTACCTTGTGACTAATACAATGGGTAACACATTTAATTTAAATGATGTTGCTTCATTGTTAAATGAAGAAGCTAGAAAGGCATCCACACAAATGCTTGCTGAATCAAATTAAGCAGTGGCAGCAGGAGATAGAGGAAGAACACAATATAGAGGTCAACCCTATGGATTTAAGAGAGGTAAATCGCATAGTAGAGGCAGGTCCAAGTCATAGGGCAAGAAGGTTACTTGCTGGTATTGTAAGAAACCTGGTCGTAAAAAAAAATATTGTTATGTTATGAAGAATAAACAAAAGGCCAAGGGCAAGGAATGGCCATGCCAAAGCAAGTACAATTTTAGATGTTGAAGATAAGGTCACTTTTAGTGTTGCATGCATAACATTGTTTATTGCAGATACTTGGGTTTTAGACTCTGGTACTTCATTTCATATTTGCCTAGAAAGATCATATTTTTTAGGCTACACAGATGTGGATAGTGGCTTGGTTTATGTTGTTGATGATAGAGCTTGCAAAATTTGGGGTGTTGAAAATGTTGTTATCAAACAATTACATGGAAAAAAGCATACATTGAGCAATGTTATGCATGTTCCTGAGTTGAAGAAAAATCTTATTTCAAATGGGCAGTTAGATGACTCTGGTTTTATAGTGACTTTTGGAAATGGGTCATGGAAGATTTATAGAGGTTGTATGACAATCTTGAAAGGGAAAAAATATGGGAGTCTCTACAATCTTCATGGCATGGCTCAGCAGAATGTTTAAATAGAGAAGATTGTTGCTACAACTGTTTGAAGACATTTTTTAGCATCTTGGATCCCCGATGTGGAATAAAAGAGAAGTCGGTCAATAAAGCCCTGACTTACAGTGGAATTTTCGACAATTTCAAAATTACCCTAGATAGGGTGAGAATGTTTCTAAAGACTTCAAAAGGTCACCTACGAAGTTTCGTGGCAATCCAACATGTCTAAGGCAGCGCAGACAAAGAAAAAATTTCAGAAAAATCAGTCTCTAAAACCCTGAAACGGACCCTGTAACTAGAACCCTATTTTTAGAGCGTCAAATGGCTGTAGGACTACCACCATTGGATCCGAAACGATCGAAAATTCTTATGGGGCAAGTTTCGGCTTAAACAGACGTTTCAGGACAAAGTTATGAGCAAAAGACTGAAAAAAGATAGGCCTTATGCTATTCCCGTGCGCCCTTCCTGCACCAGTTTCTCCATTAAAGGAGACTGGTTTTCGTAGTCATGAACAACAAGTTTTAGGACTCATATCTCCTTTGTTACAAGTTGGATAGCGCTCAAATTTTGCAAACGTGTTTGTCTTGTCAAGACGAGCATTTTGATATGTGACACGTCCCATAACGACGCCCGAGCAAGGAGAAAGGCTCGAGAGAAGTTGATGATTCGTGATCAAAGGTTGCAGGAAAATCAGCAGTAGCACGACTTACTCAAGTGGCCATATCACGGTGGTCGTGTACCCGATCGACGCGAAACCAGATGCATTGATTGCGTAAGATCCAAGGCTATGCTTGGTTCGAACTCTGTACGTGATGAGCAGTTAGATTTGACGTATGAAGATGTTAAAGTTAATGCAAAATTTTCGCTGCAGGAATTCAACTTTCGGCAAAAACCTAAGCTGGTAAAATCTTTGTTCGGGCACAAAATCAAGCTGTGTTTATTGCAACGTGATCGTGACTACATTCTCAGTGCAATTCAGTAAAAAATCAAAGAAATACATCAAGAAATGAGCACATTATCGATCAAAAGTTTTGAAGGTTTATACAAACTTTAGGTCGCATGATCGTGGCCTAAAAACACGATATATGGCTTGAAGTTAGTATCAAATTGATCGTCATGTCGAGCCCAATGAGAAAGTAATCATCTTTTCGTCAAACGGGAGTCGGAGCAACCTAGAATCGGCCTAGAAAAATCGCACACATTCCATGAGTGAGCAGGGACTATTTTGGAATTTTTTGTACTGTTGGGCAGGGGCAAAACCGTAATTTTACACCCTTTTTTAGAATTTATTTTAATTCAAATAAATTTTAATTATCATCAATTAAGTTAGATTTTAGGCATCCACCCATGTTTTGGGCTCAAGTCTATATATACTACGTTATACCCCATTGTAATGGACCTTCAATTTGATTAATAAAACTGAGATTTAAGCTTTAAGATTGAGGGCCATGTTCAGGAGAGAGAGAGGAGAGAGAAGAAAATTTTGGTACACTTAAGTGAAGGTAATTCTCTCTCTCCTCCTCTCTTCTATCT